CCATGCATTCTTAGCCCACAGGAAGGGCAGGCATATGGGCATAGAAAAGGGTACTGTTAATGCCCCACCACCCGAGACGTTGACCTGGATGAGGCGGAGGAGGATTTTGTGCCGGCTGCTCAGGAAATACCGAGAGTCTAAGAAGATTAATCACCACACGTATCACAGCCTGTACCTGGAAGTAAAGGGAAATGTGTTCAAGAATGAGTTCTCATGGAACACATTCACACGCTGAAGGCAAAGGCTACAAGACGTTCCTGGTAGAACAGGCTAAAGCCCATAGGTCTAAGACCAAGGAGACATGAAAAGGCTGTGCCTAGACAATAAACTAGTGCCTCTTATTTTGTCTCTGGGTCAATTTTTTGGTCTGTGAACATGAATCTTGAGGTACATTCCCTCTGGGGAACAAAACCCAACCATGACCAAGGCGACCAAGGTCAAAGGGCAGCGCAAAGGCCCTTAGCAGGAGTCCAACCATCATGGCAACTCTGTGCTCCTCCCACTGCAGGCCCCACATTTTATTTAGCACATCTTTGTTCAAGCAACACCTTTATTTCCCTTGGAGTGGGAATCCCCTGTGGTGGTGGTTTCTGGGGTGGTTTTCTTTTTTTAAGGTCCATCAAGACCAGTCTCATAGCACTATGGCAGTTCTTGTTCCTGGACTCACCATGACCAGCGAGACAGGGTGTCCATTCCCCTGTGACAAGACAGGACTTCGCCCCCTCCCCACCCCAAGGCAGAGTCGGGGCCCTTCCCTCCCCGCAGCCCTCGGAGCTTTGCCAGCTGGCAGCAAACACAGGGGCACTAGTCAGTTTCTGCCAGACAGAACGCTTCCTCCTCCAAACTTAAGTCCAGGCATTCTTCTTCCTCTTGGCTGTGCTGCTTCCAAGAAAAGTAACTGACCTGCAAAATGAGCGCTATTTAGTGCAGCCAACGGGCAGGAATACATGTTAAAAGCTATTTCACTCCAAAAGGTTGCTATTTCTTATAAATGCACACATCCTCTTCCCCCCACCCCCACCCCCCACATCCTCTTGCTGACTCTGTAGCACAGGCCTCAGGGAGTGGGATTGAGAGAGAGCATTTGAATATAGCAATTTTCACAGGCGTTAGAAAAGTTCCCCCATCCTACCATAGACAATAATAGCCTACATTGCCAATAATCTAGAAAAAATAATTTTTCAGAGGTCTACCTCTACATGGAGAAATGTGCACGTTACAGTCAGCATCTAAAATAATTTTTAATTGAAATGTTGTTATAACCAACAACTGTTTCTTTTTTATAATCCTTCCTATAATCTTAATTTATTTTCTAGCACAACCTCTAGCATGTCAATTCCAAGACAGCAGGGCTTCCCTAGGTCCTAGCTTATCTGTCTGGTCCTCCTGGGTCACCATGAGTCCCAGTCGGTTCCAAGGTGGCGAGGGGCATGTGGCTTAGGTACATGCTACATTGTTGTTGTGTATAAGGAACCCCCAGTGGGTTGTCAGAGGTGTAAATCACAGGGGAGGAGACTGCCCATCTTGAACTTCCACAGCCCTGATTAAGCAAAAGGCCAGTCCTTAAGAAACCAATCACGGAGTCAAGTCCGTTTTAAGTCTATGACTGTGTTTCTGTGACCTGTAGTTGGGGAACTGATCGCTTAGTACTAAGAGTCGCACTACCAACCTGACATGCACATTTTGAATCCACAAGCTGCTCCGCCTGTCAGGAAGTTCAAGCTTACTTTCAGCAGGAAGCTGGACTTCTTAAGGTCTAATCTTGGATAAACCTGACTTTCCCTGCACTGGTTCTAGTTTAAGTAACTAAAATTGTTACTTTACATGGGGGGGGGGTGCCTTCAAATACTTTGCAGAATGGCAGGCCCTTCTCTTCCTCTGCCTTCAGAAACAAAACACAACTTTGAGGTGAGTTAAATACTCAAACGCTTAGCCCCAAATCCCATGGATCTAGGTCAGTGAAAGACAACTTCCCCCCATATTATAATTTTTAAAATTTTTTATTATTATTAATTTTAATGAAAGTTTACAGAGACTGAGGATTTCCATTCATTCATTGTTGCACTTTTCTCCCTGCCCACCCCTCCGTCTCCCCAATTCGCTCTTCTCTTTGAAAAGTAAAAAGAAAAATTCTTTCATTGTTATACAGTCCCTCCCACTAAGTCCACTCTACTATGCAGCTTTCATTCTGGACTCCTGTCATGACAATAGTACCTAATCACATATCCCTTTTAAACAGTTTTCTCCTTCATCTGTTTCAATGCAGTCAGTATACATTATCCCATCTTTCTCAGTCTCCCCTCAATCCCGATGTCAGTCCTGTTTTACAACAGTGGCACTATACAGTATTTTTAAAGAAATCACTCTATAGGTGGTAAAGCTTTTAGAAACAGCTTTTTAATTTGATGTCTACTTAAAGAAGTTCACAAAAAGGCTCTTCAATGAAATATTTCCTGTTATGAGATGCTGAAATCTAGGGGCTACAGCATATTTAAAAGGAATGATAGTTTTCAAAACCTATAGTGTAATCACACTTAAGGCCATCAACAACATAGGGTAATCACACTTAAGGCCACACATGGATAACGTATTTTGGCCCCAAGACCCAAGAACGTGTTTGAGAGTTCTAAAAGGCCTGTGTTCCACATTGCCTCACATTGCCAACCCTTGAAAGAGCATGAGCCCTCACTTAGATCCTTATTATAGGAGTGCTCCGATGTTACTCAGACCTGCTCTGTAAACATTACATTAGAGGTCAGAACTGAAGGCTAAGGATTCAGGAAAAGTCCTAGGAAGACACTGCATCCAAACACAGTTCCAGAGGTTCATATTCTCCGAAGGATGGCAGAGAACCCCCTGCACCTGACAGAAGACTTCTAAGCCCTGCCAGCCGTTTTCGATTATGGCTTCATTAGCCAGGTAACACTCCCCCTTTGATGGGCACATACCTGAATTAAATCCTGTCGTTCTTCCTCAGTTTTAGCATCTATGCTGTCTTCACTGGGTCTGTACTCCACAGCTATTTTACCACTTTCTGAAATTAACAATTCCATTTTAAATAAAATGAACAGTTCAAAATTATTCCTTTTCTTCCGCAACTTATTCTTGTCCTAAAAGTTCACACAAGACTAGCTGCCAAAATGGCTACCCCCCAAAAAAGTCAGCTAGCCTTTGGGATAGCAGCCAACCATTTGCACCAACCAAAGGCTCCCCACACAATGAGAACCCCAGTCATCAGGCATTCTTCTGATTCCAAGAAGCAGAGGAGCTCTTTCCCCTGAAGCTCCCTCATTTCACATTTCAGTCTTTTCCATAAATACTTGCTTAAGAGTATGCAGTATCAACTGTGTGTGGGTCAAAGAACTACCTAATAGGAATTCACTCGGGAATAATGACACTGGAAATAACTGTGAAAACAAAAATTGTTCAACAATAATATAATTGTTCAAGGACAGTTTGGCCGGAAAGTAAGAATCTGTGCACTTCATCATCAAGTTTATTCCAAACTCGTTACAGAGCACGACAGTGCTCCTGAGGGGCTTCTTGGCAGTAACATCCTTGGACACCAACTGTTAGACTTTTTCTTCCAAGATACCACCACGGAGGTTTGAATCGCCAACCCGTTAGGTTAGCTGTGTGTGAGGGGGGTATGTATCACCTAGAAACCTCTGTTGGCCAAAAGTGAACACGTGCACAACACGGGCAAGGCAAACGAGCCACATGCAGCTTGGTTCGAGTTTGTGTACAAGGAGCGCTCGATCCTCTTTCTGTGCGGTCCTGGAGAGCTGATTCTGACTCACGGGCAGGGGAGAACTGCTCTGTGGGTCTGCAAGGTGGTGGCCTCCCGAAAGCTGACCACCAGGACTGTTTTCCAACGCACTACCGGAAAAATAGCATATTACACATACTGAGAAATAGAAACGAACCAAGCATGTGGCCAGATTACTTTTCTGAGTTCGTAGTTGATGGAGAGGATGTTTCATGGCCAGGGAAGGGCCAGCTCTTACAAAAAACAACAGGTTTCTCTGACGACTTAGCCAGTTTCTGAGTCTCTGTGCCTGAAGGGCTGTGAAGCAGGGAAACAGCTGCGTCTGGGGACTCTGTGTGACTCTTAAGTCTCCTCTGGGTATTGTCTGTAGCATTAACAACCCTGGAAAACTCAAAAGGGCACGACCCCCAGCGTGACCACTCTAAAGGACGTATGCACACTCACAAGAAAGCAGCTGATTATGATGTAAAAATTGCATCTCTGGTTGAGCCCAGACTCAATGTGTTGGCACCAGAAATGAAACTCATTTAGAAAACATAATCAAATAAACACATTCTTTAATAGAACAATGATGATAATAATTAACATATATTGCCTGCTTACCATATAAGCAAGCATGTCTCCAAGGTTTTTACATTCATCGCATTTACCCTCACAATAACCCCATGGAGAAAAGGAGTGTTATTAACCCTATTTTCCAGATGAGAAAATAGGATCTAGAGATCAGTAGCTTCACATCTCTCTGGCTATAAAACCTAAAAATGTATTAACATCCTAAGAGATAGAGTTAGGGCCCACACCAAGGGATCCAAAGCTTATAATCACTCTCTCCTTCTTGAGCATGTGGTTGTGTGCCTTTGAGTCAGAACCCAGTGGGGTTTTCAGAGGCAGCAAACCGTACAGGAGGAGATTGCCCATCTTTTCCATGCAGAGTGGCTGGTGGATGTGAAATGCAGTGCAACTCCTTCCGCAAGGCCGCCAGGGCTTGCCTCAGCGTACAGGTGACTGAGGAGCACAATCTGGACCACTTACTTTCCGTGTGAGATGAAACAAGTCATTCTGCAACCGGGAACTGAAGTCGGTAATATGTGTTGCCACTTTCCTCACAAATGTCACGAAAAACCAACCTGAGGTTGTTGCTATAAATCAGTCTGGTGAAGGACAGGATAACCTGGAGGGCTTCGGAACATGTCTTTTTAACCAGTGAACATTTCAAAATTAGTTCATTTGCTCACTGAAATGGAAGTACCTCAGAGATCATCATGAGTCTTACCTAGAACAACAAGCAACAGTTTCTGGAATGCATTCGACAAAGCCTTCTGAGCGGCAAGCTTCTGGGTTATCTTCCTTTTCATAAGAAAGGACAATGGCCCTAAGTCCAACGAAAGCAAACGGATTTCAAATTCTGTCTTCAACAGTAACTTTTATATGTTGTTTTTTTAAAAAAAATACATCCACACTTCTTAATTCTTAGATGATTATCTTAGTGATTAAAGGCTGGCATGGCACTAGGATGTACCTGGAAGGCAGGGCACATTTTTACAGTGCCAAGGGCTAGAATCACACACAGAGAAAGGTTTCGTGCGATGCAGGTGATCTACACCGAGGAATTTCCTGAAGAACAGGAAGGCCAGTAACTTCACACAAATCTCACATCTTAGAGATTTCACACTGACATGTGGACCCAACCTACCTACTCATGCATCAGTGGCTGGAATCTCACTCTGAGAAAGGTGTGGTGGCAATGCCCATGATCTGTCCTCTCCCTGGGTCTCTCACGGGAGCCCATGCCATCCTGCCCCGTAAGAGCCCTGCTCACCTAAACCCCTAAGCCTGGGTATATTCACTCTAGGAAATAACCCCATGTGGTCCGAGACCCCTTTCTAGAACACGCCCTTGACTGTATCCTGTCATGTCCTTCCTTGAGCAGCAAAGGACTGTGTTTTCAGGAGAGTTTTTTTTTTAGATAATGATTTTTGTGGGGATAACTGAAGGCCTTTGAGGGTCTGTAAAAAAGTTCTTAGGCACAAGTTGGAAAAATATTTTTCCCTGTGTGCTCCTAAATCCCTTAGTAGGAAGTCAGTCAGCTTCCAAATGTCACACTGGGAAGCTCTGGTGGCCTTGTGGTAAGAAGCTGTGCTGCCAACACAACAGTTTACAATAAAAAGTTCTAGCAGGTATTTACTAAAATGTAGGGTAAAATTTTGTCTTATAAGTGGGCGGGAAGAAAATTCTGCTCAGGGTGTTTTGTGTGTGTGTTTTTTTTTTAAATAGCATTCAGTTTACGACAAATATTTAGTATTGGCTTCCCATATTCCCCCCTTTTGTTTTCATCAAAATTATGTTATCATCTAGATGAGCATCCTTTATGTTGTTGTTGTTGTTATGTGCCGTCGAGTCGTTTGCGACTCATAGCGAGCCTATGTACAACAGCCCTAAACCGTGCTCTATCCCGTGCCAATCTCATTTCCTCTGACACACCCATCCCGAGTACCCCAGTCACTGAATCAATTCACCTCATACACAAATAAAAAAACATAATAAACTCAAAGAAATACTTTCAAAAATCTCCATATGATCAGAAGGATTCAGGTTGATCAGGGTTTTAGTTTAGCAAGGGGAGGCCTGGCCACACCTCTGGAAAGGCGCATTAGAAAGAATTCCCTTTCCTGACCATCACCCGCACCTGGAAATTACCTTCCTCCTGCTTCTCCAAGGGCTCCTCTGCCACGCCAACTCCAGGGCTCCTGCACCCATAGGCTGGCAGTACCACCTCCAGAGCACAGAAGAACTTTGGACCAGGCTTCTGAGCTGCTGCCATCTCTTCATTTTCCCTTTCTTCAAGATCAGAAAAATCCAGAAGCTGTGAGGATTTTTAATGCAAAGTTCTCATGAGAAACAAAAACCAAACTCTAGCATTCTCAGTTTTAGCTGAAGTGTCCTATAGCTTCAGAATCAGGTTAAGAATCACAAATTAATGACTACGAGCTAGATAACCTTTATTATACGTCATACAAATAACGGAGAACACACCATTCAAGTGTCCAAGATTAGAGATTAATTCTAGGTGCTTCAACTTGCTGCTTCCTCCTTTCAAGCAAGTCCAAGCTTTTTCTCAAGTTTAGGATCTCAGTGTTGAGAGTACAGTTACTCAAAGAAATGGCAAGATCTACCTTGATAATCCTTTTTGACCATCCATTGAAACCAAAGTAGTAATTTGCAAGTTCTTGGCATCGAGAGCTGTTTAGGGCAAGGGTCTGATGCTGAACAGTCTTATGTCGTGTGCCAAGATGAACCTAAAAATGCAAAAAACAGATCCACACATTTCACGATCCAGCACCCAGCCTATTTTGGATATACCGGAGATTTATCAGTACTGATTTCAGGAGTGGTTGTAAAGGTTAAATGGGACAGAACACTAAAGAAATGAAGTATTATTAAGCTACAGTGCTATTCTGCACCATTTCCGGGGTCCCTGATTCACAAGACCGTTTCTGTGGTCTCTGGTGGTGAACAGTGATGAATGCAACTGAGGAAATCCTGCAGAAGCCAATTACAGCACTGGAGATGCAATGAAGTTGTTTTTAATCTTCCCATGTATAACTCCTGCTTGAGAAAACATGACCTAAAAATCAATAAAGACGGACCTGCAGGGTATCTCTCCTCAAGCTGCCAAGCTCTATCAGAAAGGGGAATACACACGCTTTAGTTGTTGAGGACCATGGAGTCAGAACAGACCCATAGATGACCCTCCAACGGGCTGTCAAAGGCAGTGAATGGCATGGGAAAAGGCCATCTTTCTCCCACGGAGCAGCTGCTGGATTGGAACCATATACCTCTTGGTCAGCAGTGCAATTTCTTACCACTAAGCCACAGAACTCCCTACACATATTTCTATAAATAGTCAACCAACCAACCAATCGTCTTCAAGTTGATGCCAATGCATGGGCACCCACATGTCAGAGAAGGACTGTGCTCTTCAGGGTTTCCAATGGGAGACCTTTTGGAAATAATTTCCAGGCCTTTCTTTCAAGGGGTCTCTGAGTGGATGAGCTTTCAACTGTTCTCATCACCCAGGACCTATAAGTATTACTAGCAATTCAAATATATAGAGAGACCATATGGCACAACTTTCAGGCAAGTAAACAGGCTTTTAAGGCAAACAATACCAAGAAAGAACTCACACTTTTGACTAATTAGACACAACAAATCAAAAGGGATTTGCCCAGGAATAAAGCTTTTGAGACAAAAGTGGTAGAAGGAGAGGATTAATGGAAGTGAGAATCACAGGGAAGAAGTGGGAAGAGTATAGTTACATGACAGACATTGTCATTAACATCATAGGAACAAAATGTGCATGAATGGTTGGATAAAAAAAACAATTTGCTTTGTAACATTTCACTCAAATAATAATAAAAACGGGGGGCGGGGAGAGGGGTGCAACAATGAATGAATGAATTCCAAAATCTCTGTAGATGTTCATTGAAATGAAAAATAAAGAAATTAAAAAAAAGAAAAAAATAATAATAAAAAGATAAACTACCAACCCATCTGCATTAACAAGCACTTTAAAAACTGAAGTTATGCCTGACCCACGCTGTATACAATCGCTTTGTTTACATGTGAAAGTTGGACAAGGAATAAGGAAAACTGAAGGGAAAAATGCCTTTGAACTGCGGTGCTGACAAAGAATGCAGAATATACCAAGGGCTGCCAAAGGGTCAAAGAAAGCTGTTTTGGAGGAAGTACAGCCAGAGTGCTTTCTAGAAGCCAGGAGTGATTTCTAGTATTTTATCAGGAGGGTAAATTCCCTGATCCTCGGACTAGTGGGAAAGAAAGGAAGATCTTCAATGAAATGACCGTAACAATCCGCACAGGAGTGACTGTCAGGATGGGGCGGAGTTTCCTTCTGGTCACTATGACTCACAGCCGCTCAGTGACACATTACACCTGTCAAGTGTCAAGCTCTTTCACTTAAAACCCACATACACAATGAAAGATTGTTTTGTTTCTTTTCAAAGAGAAAAGTGAACTGGGGAGGAGGAATGGGCAGGGAGGAAAATGTGCAACAATGAATGAATGGAAATCCAAGTTCTCTATAAACTTTCATTAAAATCTCAATTTAAAACAAAGAATTAAAAAACCCAACATACAAGTAAACTTAAGGAAGATTCTTCTTTCAAAGAGTTGTAAGATTTAGGGGCAGCACAGGATGGCATGAGCTTTAGCACTGTTATCGTTACATTTGGGTTTGACTCCTAGTTCTAACACTTATCGTCATGAAACTTATAAGCAAGTTACTTATGCACCTTGAGCTTCTGCACCTGAAAAACGAGGCTTTGGAAGACTGGTGTGGTGTTGCATCTAAAAGCATTCTGAAAACTTAAAGAGAAATGCAAGCCTTAGGTACTAGGGGCAGGGGGGAGATTCTGACTTGGTGATCCCGTTTGCAACAGAAGGTACAATGCCTGGTCCTGTATTATCCTACTGCTACTCTGATCCTACTGTTGCTGTCACTGTGTCAATGCATCTTTTTGAAGGGGTGTCCTTTTTTTTTTTTAATCGACACCCTACTTTAACAATCATGATGTTCTTTTCCAGAGAGTGGTCCCTTATCTGATCAGGTATCAAAAATTAAGTGAGCTGGAGTCTCGCTATACTGGCGTCTAAGGAGCATTTTCTGACAGTGCAAATGCTAGTGCGTTATTCCAAAACCCAGTGGAGCCAGGGATTCCACATTCAGACTCACCTTCACTGGAGATGTCTGAAAAAGCGGCTTCCGATCGCAGGCCTTTTGGGCTCTGAGCGCATCCCTTGCCGAGTAGAACTTGATGATGGCGTAGAAGCCTGGTCGGGCCACCGCAGCATTTGGGAAGACGCGGACTGAATACAGAAGGCCAAATGTGGAGAACTCTGTGAACAGAAAGCGCTGTGGGGAGGACCCACACCAAATGCGTGCATGACAACAAAGCCACCTACAGCCCGGGATTACCCAAGCCTTCTCCAAGCAAAGTGCATCTCAAAACCCTTTTCAGTTAGCAAGTTTTGAACCGTCTAGCATCTGAGACCAATCGGTAGCATCAGGATGGATGGCGAAGAGATTGAGATTGTTCACAGCTTCAGTTTGCTCGGCTCCATGGTCAACACTCTTGGCACAAGTAGCCAGGAAATAAAAAAACGTATTGCGATGGGAAAGTCTGCGGTTACGGACCTCTCTAAAGTACTCAAGAGCAACGGTGTCTCTCTGGAGACTAAGGTGCGCCTGATACAGGTCATGGTTTTTGCAATCACTTGTTATGCATCAGAGAGTTGGACAATGACTAGGGAGGATAGAAGGAGAAATGACGCCTTTGAGCTGTGGTGCTGGAGAAGAGTACTTAATGTACCATGGACTGCCAAGAAAACAAACAGATTCATCCAGGAGAGGGTTAAACCAGGCTGCTCCTTGGAGGCAAGGATTCTGGGGCTTCGCCTGACATACTTTGGACATGTTGTAAGGAGAGACAGGTCTTTAGAGAAGGACATCATGCTGGGTAGAGTAGAGGGACAGCGCAGGAGGGGAAGACCCTCTATGAGGTGGATTGATTCAGTGACTGGGGTAATCGGGATGGGTGTGTCTGAGGCAATGAGATTGGCACAGGATAGAGCACGGTTTAGGGCTGTTGTACATATAGGGTCGCTATGAGTCGCAAACGACTCGACCGCATATAACAACAACAACAGCAACATCTGAGAAACATCAGAAGGTAACGGGTGGTGGTGATGGTGGTGGTTGAGTTGCTCTCTGTGAAAAGTGTAGGGACTAGCGCTAGAATCCATTCTAAAGTCAATATATCCTCTTCCCTCGCATTCAGTGCAATCTGCAGTTAAGAGGCAACAAGGCGGGCAAGAGACGGGTACGGCGAGGTGTTAACTCAGGAATGCTGGACTCCCAGTCACCGCGAGGGAGTCTTCCCCCTTCCCTCCCTCCACTGTGTCTGGGCTCACATGCAATTCTTCGGCCGTTGGCCCAGAGCTCAGATCCCACACCACCAAGGTTTTGTCGTACTCCGTAGGAACCGCGAACCTAATCAATTCCGCCATCCCATCGCCACTGCGCTTGCGTAGCCAAGAGTCCTGCACTAATGCGCCTGCGCAAAGTGAGCCCGCAAGTTTTTAAAAAAGGCACGCTCGAGGGGCGGGGCCGGCTCCCGAGGGGCGGGGCATGAACGGCGGGCGGGGCCTACTCTGTGGGCGGGGCCTGGGGCTTTTAGAGCCGTGGTCAGCCCCTCCCTCACCCCATCCGTCCGCCCCCCACCCCAGTCCACTTCCGGGCCTCCGGTTCTCCTCCAACTTCATTTCTGCAATCTCGGAGTCCATTGCTTGCAAGCATTGCAGACTGCAGCTGCTACTCACCCAAGTAGGATATTGGTGGCAGTTGTTGCTGTATGCCGTCAGAACCGACCCTTCAGCGGGTTATCAGAGACAATAAATCACACAGGAGGAGACTGTCCATCCTCCCATGGAGCATCTGTTATATTCGAACGGTGGGCCTTTGGGATTGCAGCACAGTTCCTGACTTACCATTAGGCCGCCAGAGCTCCTAAGTAGGATATGGAACAGTTTGGACTGTGTTGTCAACCAGAGTGGCCCTCAAGAGTATGGTCCCAAGCTCCCAGGCCCAACAATTAATTCCACGATGTTTGGTAGACGGTAACTTTTCAATTGATATTCTTTATACCACTGAGCATAAGGGAGCTCTGGTGGCCTAGTGATAAGGAACTGCACTGCAATCTCAAAAGCATACAGTTCAAATCCACCAGTTACTCCACAGAGAAAAGAAGGTCAATCTCCTGTACAGTTTATTGCTTTGAAAACCGACTGGAGGATCAGTTATGAGTCGGTTTCAACAAGACAGTATGAAATACAACAACACTGTTGTTAGGTGCCGTCCAGTCAAGTATGTGAACAACAGATCCAAACCTATCCTATCATGTGCCAGCCTCACACTACAGCCCATTGTGGCAGTCACTGTGTCAATCCACCTGATTGAGGGTTTTGTTCTTCTTCACTACCCTCTGCCTGCAAATATGTCCCCCTCCAAGGAATAGCCCCTCCTAGCAACATGCCCAAAATATATGAGGCAAAACTTTACCATCTTTGCCTCCAAGGAGCGCTCTGGCTGCATTTTCTCCAAGACAGACTTGTTTGTTGCTTTGGCCATCCATGGGATGTTCAGTACTGTGCTCCAATACCACATTGCAAAGACATCAGTCCTCCTTCTGTCATCTTATTAATTGTCCAGCTCTCAGATGAATAGCAAGTGATTGGATAGGCCCTGGCCTGAATCAGACACACCTGTTTCCTCAAACAGACATTACTCCTCCTCAGTAATTCAGAGAGGTCCCTGACTGTGGACTTTCTCAATGCAGTATGTCCCCTGATTTCCTGACTGCTGGTATCAAAGGCATGGATTGTTGCCTATCAGCCTACTGGTAAGAATTTGTGTTTTCTTGAAGTTGAGATACAATCCATATTGAAGTCGGCAGTATTCGATCTTCTACAGCAAGGGCTTTAAGTCTTCCTCACTTTCAGCAAGCAAGGTTGTGTCATCTGCATAATGTAGGTTATTGGTGAGTCTTGCTCTGATCTTGATACCATGTTCTTCTTCATGAAGTCCAGCTTCTTGAAAAATTCACTCGGCATACAGATTGAATAGGTCTGGAGAAAGAGAATACAATTCTGACACACTCTCTTCCTAATTTTGAACCATGTAGTGTTCCTTTGCTCTGTTCACACAACCTCTTGGTCTAGGTATAGGTTTCCCATGAGCACAATTAAGTGCTCTGGGATTCACAATCTTCTCAATGTCAGCCCCAACTTGTTACGATCCACACAACCAAAGACCTTTGCACAGTCAATAATGCACAAATAGACATTCTTCTGGCATTTTTTACTTTCAGCCAGGATCCATCTGACATCAGCAATGATATCCCTGGTGTCACAGCAGGGATATCATTGAAACACAACACTTGAGCATTAAAATAAAAGTTGAAAATCTTAACCATGGTTATGGTTTTTTGTTAGATGATTTATTGGTCTGTGAAATCTGAAAGCCTGGAAATAACTGAGTAGCTAAATCTCTACTAAGTGAAAGAGTCAAAGCCCAGATGTACCACTTGGGTTTAAGCAGACACCACTGACGGTGGATGTGATCAAGGCTGGCTCTTTTCTGCCTGAGCCTTGTCCTTCAGCAGGTTCCTCCCCACCTCATCACCCTCCAAGCAAGCTGTTTCCTATCTAGAGAAGCCATCTGATAACTCTTCGCAAACATCATTTCCACTTGGCACTATTTCTGCACCCCATCCCTATACCAGACCCTCAGCATCACCCATTACCTACTTCTCAACTTTCTCTTCTCTCAAGCTGTATCAAACTCACAATTGTATGTTCTATTACCCATTGTCATTATTTGTATGTCTCTGCTCCTCCTCCTCCATCAGGAACACCTAACAGTTTTGAGTTGACCTTCTTTCATCACCCAGCACCCAGCACATACCATATCATACCATACCAAGTACTCAAATATACAAGGAATTAACGAATAAACGAATGCATTCTTTACATAGTGAACATTTTAATAATTTTAAAGATAAAGGAACTTCTTCTGTGTGGTCCTCTTCATTTGCAAATGACAACCAGGAACTTGAGATCTCTTCACTGATGCACGAGGGTCTGTGCAGAATTGTAAATGAGGAGGAAAGGAAATGGCATGAAGTGGCAACAAGAGGAAGAAGAGATGAAGAATCCCCAGGTGGACATAACAGCTCTGGAATGACACCCTCACAAACCTGTAGGCTGCCTCCTCACAGCCGGCATCCCGTCAGCCAGTAGGAGAGTGGCCTACCCGAACAGTGCAGCTTCCATTGTATCCTGTGGAGTAAAAATAAGACGTAGTCCTTGGTTCCCATTAAGCTGTTTCTCCCCACACTCCTAACTTAGCTCTCGGTGCATCTGCCATGCAGAGAAACCTTCAGAATTCCCTTCACCCCTTGCTTTCTGGTGTGTCCGTTAGTGATCCTCTCTGGTTCATTTGTAAACACTCCTCATGTCTGATGTTTGTCCTCTGCCCCCTTCAGTATGCTTCCACATTTTCCTGTCCTCTCTCTCTGACGGGGGCAGCAGAGGACCGAGTGTGACTGAAAAAACAAAACAAAATATCCTACAGACTCTCCTTCCAGACAGGGTAAGCCCTAACCGTCATCAGGGCTCCTTCATTCGGGAGGTACGTTGGAGCAGGCAAGCTGCTGCAGTGTTTTCTCTTTTCACCTCACAGTCGCCTGCAGAAGCAGCCATAGTAGATTCATATATCCAAGTTTGAAGCTTAAGAAAGTTAGGTGACATAAGAATCCGGAATGAAGGTTACAGAGTGGAGTATACTCGGGGTGGGGGTGGGGGTGCGGGGGGATTGTATACCAATGAAGGAATTTTTCTTGGGGAGGGGCGGGGAGAAAAGTGCAACAATGAATGAATGGAAGTCCAAAATCTCTGTAAGTATGTTCATTAAAATGAATAATAATAATTAA